ACATACTCCATGCACTTGAAATTGCAATGTTTTGTCTAGCAGTGTCTGTGGGGATCATGCATACGTATGATCTGAGTACCTTTGCACCCCCCCTATTTTAAGAGCATACGAGGCATGCTAGGGCCAATCTCCCTCAATATCTTGTTACAGCTCATGACTGTGAGGTGGATTTGTGAGCAGTTCATGTATTTCTTGGCTACCTCCAGTTGTATATAGAAGTCCTTTAGTTCTATAGTGTTTTAGATCAGTATGTAGGTAGTTAGCATAGGGCTCTTTTGTTTTTCTTATGCCCAGTACTGGTCTTCAACCCTTATGACTTAAGCTCAAATATCCCAGACTTGTCCCTCTTTTGAGGCAGCTGTGCTCCTTACTAATAGATATCGGATGTCTGTTTTGTCTGGAGAAGGGGCACAGCCCTGAAAAATACTCACCTGATCTGGATAAACAAGACCCTTGTGGAATAGAACAGATTTTCTCTGAAAGTGTTCTGGTTAGTTCTTGCTTCACTGCTAGCACCCAGCTCCTGCTCCTGAAAAGACTTTCCACTGTTCTTTCTGTCAAGTCTTTGTCGGCTTTTCCAGCAGGTATGAAAAAGCCCTGCTCGGGTGGGAAAGTATAGAAAGAGGTCACCTTCTGAAGGAGCTGCTGAGAAAAGGAGGCTAAAGTCACTTAGGGATGTGAAAGGTTAACTAGTTAAGTGATAAGCATCACTCTTAATGGGTGAGTCTTTCCAGTTCCGCCTAACTGGTGGGGGCTGTAGCAGCTCCCTGCCTGTGCAGGTATGGGGCTGCTCCAGCCCTGCAGCGGGGCCCGCTGTGGACACAGGCTGCTCTGGTCGTCCAGGACAGACCCTGCCTGCTGCAGGGGAGCCACTCCAGCCAAGCAGTGATGGGCAGGGGGACTGCTCCAGCCCAGCTGGGCTGCAGCATTCCCCCACCCATCCTTCCTTTAATTGGTTAACCAATTAAACAGGATTTTATATCCTAAAATACCTTTAAAATAAGGTGATGTCTGCATAGCTGTTAAACTACGATGGCTGGCCTGGGTCATGTGGTTCTGGCTGTGTAATTCCTATACAAATTTAGATGTCCGTGTTGGACTGGAGCCCATGCTCTAGGACACTGTAGGGGGGAGGGTCCCAGAGCTTGGACTCCATCCTGAGCCTGATATCTATGTAGCAATTTTTAGCTATGCAAGCCCCAGTCAGCTAACCTTAGCCAGATGCACAGCTGGGTCTCATTCCACCCCCAAGACTAGCATATATTCCAAAATGGGTCTATTTGGAATCCTCAGACTCCAGTGGTTGAGCTATGGTACTGCCTAAGGATCAGTCTTGGGGTATTCTCTACATAAGAACATAAGAATGGCCGTACTGGGTCAGACCAAAGGTCCATCTAGCCCAGTAGCCTGTCTGCCGACAGTGACCAGCACCAGGTGTCCCATAGTGGGTGGACCGAAGACAATGCTTCTGAAATTGCAATACAGGTTGAACCTCCCTGGTCTGGCACCTCAGGACTAGGGATGTTAACTATTAGTTACTTTACTAGTTGAGTAATCAATGGCATTTCCATTGACTAGTCAATAGGCACTTTCTCATTCCTCCTTTGAAATGTACAAGAGCCCCCACTGGGGGTGTGCAGCCCAGGGTCAGTAGGGAAGTCCTGCAGACTCTGAGCTGCATGTGGCATCAGCTGTGCAGTGCTGCCACTTTGAAATACCCTTCTCTCCCCCATTACTGCCTCTATCAGATAGAGGCAGCACAGAGGAGAGGGGGAATCATCTAGTCAACTGACTGATAAGCTTTTGCTTATTGGATAGTCAACTAGTGTTTACCAGCCTTACTCAGGACCTGACAGGTCCCAGATCAATGCACGAGGGGCTCCACTGCCAATCAGGGGTCCCTGCTCCTGCCCAGGGGGCCTTGTTCTCCCCCAGCTCCTGGCTGCTCTGATGGCTGCCGCCCTACCCTTGTTGACTGGGGACTCTGCACACTACTGCTGCTGCTTGGGGCTCTGCTTTCTCAGCACCCTAATCTGGCAACACTTTTAGCCCCTTGGGCTCTCCCCATGAGTGCTCCCACAAGGCCACTCTGAGCATGCCAGACCAGGGGTTTAGCTGGACTAGGGAGCTCCAGATTATGGAGTTTCAACCTCTCCTCCATTGGTGCTCTCCATACTAGAACCAGTCTTTTCAGTATCCTCCACTCTGGTACCATTAATATCTAGTGTCCTAGTCAAGATCCCAGTCATCTTGGCGCTGAGTTCCTGTAAAGGCTGAGGCTCTGACTTAGGTCTGATGTCACCTTTATTAGATAACTGGCACACCGCGAGTGTCCCAGATTGCCCATCTTGCGTCTGGTATCTGCCCCAGGATGGGAGTTCTGTTCATTGTGCTTCGGGTGCTTGAGGCAGGTAGGGGGGGTTCAGGCCCTCCCTCACTCCGAGCCCTGACCCAGGACCCTAAGGACTGGTCAACCCCGTCCAGTTGGTGGGGAACGCTTCCCGCAGCTCACCAACCCGTGGGCCCTCTTTTGGCCATACCCTGGGCCCCTTCCTACTGCCTCTCCGGGTCAGTGTTGGTCTGGCGTCTTCCTGCCTCCCTATCTGCCGCCACCGTGGAGGTCTCCCATCTGGAGTTCCACACCCCTCCCCTTTTGAGGCAGCGGCACTGCTTCTAAATGTCCCACCACACCGGGACTGCCTTTACTCCTGAGTTGGCTCCAGCCCCGCCCCCCTCCTGCCGACCGGAGCAGCTGCTGGGCTCCCCAGTGGCTGTGGAACACACACTGCCAATCTGCCAGCAGTGGCTTTTCTGCCCAGCCCGCTGGGGTCAGTGCCAGGTGATTGCGGGGCCTGCTAGGGCTCCCATCATAGTTCCTAATACTGCGTGATCTCATGGTACCAGCTTCTTGAGTCCCTGCTGTTACCCTTCTTCATACCGGCCACCGGTGCAACATGGACAATTGAGTATTTCCACAGCATAGTTGAGGGAGGTCCATATGCCTCACCTGGGACACTCAAAATCAGCACCACCACTCAAGGAGTCCAGCTGTTTACTTTTTCCAAGAAGTTATTCAGCTGTCAAACTGATTGAGTGGGCATCCCATCATTTCAGTAGCTCTGAATCTTTCAAGATTACTAAATACCCTAGCATACCATCTGAGCAAGCTATTTAGTGTCCATGTGCAATCACATGTGAATGACTGGGGTCTTTGATTCCCAACATTTTCTGCAAATAGGATCCAACCAGTCATGGTCTTATTTGCAACAGAAATAGTGTCCAAATTTCTGTTCTGAGAGGATGGAGTGCGTATATCTGCACATGCAAGCCCTGGCTCTGCGTGGTTTCCTTACCCCCCTGTATGTAATATGCTTACCCATTAATCCCTCTAATATTGAGAGAGCTCAAGCAAGATAGCTAATGATCTTAATAGCAATAGATTGCCCTGAACAATCTTAGTATCCAGATCTCTGAGCTATCTAATGAACCATCAGTAATGTTACTTCAGATCCTGCACATAATTTCGCAGAACGGTGGACAGTTCCTCCATGCCAAATCAACATCACTGTATCACTCAGTATGATGCTGGCTGATTTTAGTGAAAAGGGGTTGTTCTGCTGGTATCAGCACTTTGATCCAAACCAGAAAAGATACCACAACATTAATACACGAAACCAAGTAGAAAAGATTTGTACAACTGGCAGAACGCAATCACACTTCTCCCTTGGAAACTCAGGTTCCTTTTTATTCTGCATTATTTACTTTCTTATAGAACTCTGGACTATTCATTAGTTCTGTTACATCTGATAATGGCTTCATCATATCATCCCCCTATTCAGGAGCACATTGAATTCTACTGGCTGCGACAAAATTCCTCATTTCTGTGGTCATAGTTCACAGTGAGCACATAAAGACAGTATTAGTGAGCAGGCGGGAGATGTGAAGAAACAATCTGCCATATGATGCTCTAACGGGGGAGGGATAGCTCAATGGTTTGAACATTGGCCTGCCAAACCCAGGATTGTGAGTACAGTCCTTGAGAGGGCCATTTAGGGATCTGGGGCAAATCTATCAGGGATGGTACTTGGTCCTGCTGTGAGGGCAGGGGGTTAGACTCAATGGTCTCTTTCATTCAGTCTATTTGGATGCAAGACCTACTCGCTCTATTTCCACTGCAATTTTTTCCACTGAAATTTCTGAATTGACTAAAATGAAGAGTGAGGTCCTAGTAAAAAATAAGTATAGATCAGGGCTGAGTTTTCTTTTCTCCCCCGGCCTAGTATCTTTCCGTTGCCAATTAAGGGGCTTGATCCTGCAGTTATGATCTTGCAGAATCATCAGAAAATTTAGTCCTTTTTTTCTACCAATTGCTCTGTAATGTGATTTAGACTTTCCACTAGAAACTTGGACTTGAGAATACCAACTTGTCACAAAAACCCGTCCAGAAAATCTCAAGTTACTAGTGATCTCAACAGGATTTAAAACCAGAGACTTAAAGTAGAAGAGGTTTGTGGTACATATTTGCAGCTGGAGTAAATTTAAAGTTCATTGAATACTTCATTGTAGTTATGACCATCAGAAATCTCATGTGCTTGAACTCCACCATGCTGCTGTTTTTCAAAATTGGGCTTCTCTCCTGAAAGCTGTTGTGTGTACATGCAGGCAGAACCTCTCTGATTTTAGTGAGCATAATTGTTTATGTGGAGCAGCTTGCAGGATCAGAATTTTAAATATAAATGTTAAACTATTTTCCCCCCTCTAAGGTAACATAATCTACTAGTTAATATGTAAGCACTAAATTAAAGTTTTTGCATCTTTATGCTACAGTGTTTACAGCTTGCCAGCTTTGTACAAATGCACATTTGGGTAAACTGTACTAAATCTCGTGAATGAATTCTGAAAGATCAGATTTTAAACTCTGTTTTGTCACTGGAGTGTTATAAGACCATCGGCATACGTGCATGGCTGAATTAAAAACAGTGTTTTGTTCTTTGTTGCAGATCACGTTTGGGCTGCCAAATCTGCTTGAAGAAATGTATGAACAATATGACTGTTCGAGTACCCGAAGCAGTTGCTGATGCTAGACAATCTATAGATATGAGCAAGAATTCGTAAAATAAAACTTACTAGGAGCTTTTCATGACATTTTAAACTATTTTTATAACTTATTTCTGAATGTTTAAATGTGATCTTACATAATCATGGGAGTTATTTTTTGACTATCAGCGTTAATTTTCTTTATGGAACCATTTATTTTGATTCTTAAAAAGAGGTAATAATTTTAACATGTTAAAGGTGCACTGTAAAATGTTAGTTTATACTCAGAAGTCATTTATTGATTTTGCTATGTTTTCTTTTTCAACTGTTTGAACACCAGCCTTTTTCACTAAAATAGTGGTTGTTTTTTTTTTTTTTTTTTTTAATGGATTCAAACCAAACCATTTGTTTTTTAGGGTTTCAAACCTAGAGACATTAGGATACTGAACATATGACAAATGTAGCAGTTTTTTAGTTTAATTTCATGTGGCATATTAGAAGCATGTGTATCCAAACAGTGCTAATTTGCTGGTTGGTGGTATGGTGTTTTCACAGCAACTGGAAATAAAATTAGGAAGATGAGTGGAGCTGGCCTATCCTAAATTAAGGTGTCTTGTTAAACTACAACAAATATTGTTGACATCGTGTTTGAATAGTCCAGTCCTCTTAGTCTGCTAGTGTCTATACCTAATAAAAACAATACTTATCTTTCCATTGCCCATATTAAGGGGTCCTATCTTCCAAACTGTTACTGAGTGCATAAGATTAAACTGTTAAATATTGGCCCCTTATTTTTTTTCAGTTGGTTAAAAGCATGGAGGTTTTTTTAAACAATCATTTATTTACCTTTTCCATTTTTATGGTATGTGTTATTAGATGAGGCAACTACCAAGAAATATAGTGGTCATATCATTAGCTTGAAATTTTAAGATTTGGATAAAATCTTTATTTTGTGCATATCCAAACAATACATTTTGGCTGTGTCTATGCTACAAGTTCTCATTTGCATGAGTCATGATCTCATTTGCATATTTTCTGCAGCTCCGTTTTTGTGCTGGGGTTTTTGTATAAAAACAAGCAGTGGGGACGTTTTCTTTTGTGCAAAAACCCCCCTTTTCCACAAGATCTGTAAATCCCTACCAATCTTGTGGAAAAAGGGGGGTTTTGCACAAAAAGAAAACATCCACACTGCTTGGTTTTTACGCAAAAACGGATTGGCAGAAAATATGTAAATGAGATCACAACTCATGCAAATGAGTCCCTCATTAGCATATTTTTTGCTGAGAGACCTCGTAGTGTAGATGTAGCTTTGAGTACTTAAGTATAAGGTATTGGGTTCAGTATCTGAGCTGTCGTAGGTCTCTAGGGGTTTTTTTCTGTGAGAGGTTCTTTCATGTTTCATTTATATGTGGAAAAAAGAATTACTACTTTGTTTTTAAAAAAAAAATGCAGTACCTATCCCTTATAAATCTGAATTTGCATATCTGATACCCAGGATTGACACAATCCTTCTACAGCTTCTAGAGTGAATCAATGTCTTTTTACATAATCAAAGAATTACTTCTCTTCTAAATATTTCAAAAACACTCTGCTTCTGCTTTCTACACTAACTGTTTCTTGCTATAGGGATTTATATTACCTAATCCATTTTTTATCTATGTAGGACTTTATCCCTTATCGCCTATGTTCCTGTGAAGGAACTCAGGGTATGTCTACACTACCCTCCTAGTTCGAACTAGGAGGGTAATGTAGGCATACCGCACTTGCAAATGAAGCCCGGGATTTGAATTTCCCGGGCTTCATGTGCATAAGCGGGGCACCGCCATTTTTAAAACCCTGCTGGTTCGAACCCTGTGCAGCGCGGCTACACGGGGCTCGAACTAAGTAGTTCGGACTAGGCTTCCTATTCCGAACTACCGGTACACCTCAAATCCCGGGCTTCATTTGCAAGTGCGGTATGCCTACATTACCCCGCTAGTTTGAACTAGCGGGGTAGTGTAGACATACCCTCATTTACTTAAATTTAAAAAAAATACTTGGTAAGTGGTCTGACAAATCACAGCTGGACTATATTCATTCTGAAGCTTCCTTGGGACATGAGCAGAACAAAAGGAAGGGGGAGATTAGGGAAATATATATGTAAGATAAAATATAACTAGATATTGAGCTCTTTTTTTTTATTCCTCTGTTACTGCTCTGTCAATAGGATGGTAGGTGTGTAATATCAAAGTGAGTCACGCTGTCTTCTGTGAATTCTTTACCTTTGTGTACATCACTTAAGATATTTTAAGATTGTATTTTATTAAATAGCAGCTCTTTGCACTCTGACTAGGCATACAAGTTCAGGTCTCAAGAATTGATGTAGTTTGCTATACTATTTACACATACTGCAAGAAACTGGATTCTTTAGGTAGGTTTTATTTATGGTACAAGGCACTTTCCATTGTGGGAATCTGCGCACTTAAACACTATGGGCTAGATTCACAAAGGGCTTTTGGTGCCTATTGACACTAAGTGCCTAACTCGGGGGGGGGGAAGCTTCACAGGTAGTCAAAGTTCTACTCATGTTTCATCCAACTCTGTAGGTGCCTAAACTCACTTGACAAATTTTTTCAGAGAAAGCTTCCTACATGTCTTTACATGCAGAGACACAGATATTGCATCTTTCCTGTAGACATCAAAACACCTATCTTCTACCCTGGTTTGGTGTGATATGCAAACCAAGGGAAGATACGCACTCCTCTACCTAATTGGCATGTAGTCCCTGATCCATGCCAGTTAGGCACAGGATCAGGCACTTCTGGATCTTGCCTTGCGGGTGAGCTTGCCTAGTTCCGTGCAAAACAGGTGGGGTGTATGGCAGAGCAAGAGAGGTTCCCTCAAAACTTATAGCTCCGTGGTGAGGCTACTTACCAGGGAGGCAGGAGATCTTATGGGTGAGAAGTGTGAACATACTGTCCAACATTAAACAATGTCATATAAGGTTGGTGGTTTGGTTTACTAAGACTGCAGCTTGCTTAGTACCATGGCAAACACACCATTAGACATCCTTTGTATCTTAAGGAAAAGCTGTTTTAAAGCATTTGAAATGTATTAAGTAAGAATTTCATTTTAACATTTCTTGTTCCTTTTCCCTGACGAGCATTTTATACCTTAGGGCAGGGTCTATGCAGCAGGGCCAAAGTTGAATTAAGATATGCAACTTCAGCTACACCAATTGAATAGTTGAATTTGAGGCTGTTGCCAGAGGATGTTGTGAAGACTAGAACTTTAACAGGGTTCAAAACAGAGCTAGATAAATTCATGGAAGTTTGGTCCATCAATTACTATTAGCCAGGATGGGTAGGAATGGTATCCTTAGGCTCTGTCTGGAAATGGATGACAGGAGAGGGATCATGTGGTGATTACCTGTTGTGTTCGCTTCCTCTGGGGCATCTGGCATTGGGCACTGTTGGCAGACGGGATACTGGGTAGATGGACATTTGGTCTGACCCAGTGTTGCTGTTCTTATGAAATAGCGTAATTCAGCTTTTGGCGCTGCCTACACAGCAGGAAGTCAGAGGAAGAACACTTTTACTTCGACTTCCCTTACTCCTTGTAAAATGAGGGTTACAGGAGTCTAAGTAAGAAGTCCTCCAGCTCACCAGTATTTTGAAATAATGTCTTGTTGTGTAGATGCACATTTTATTTTGAAATAACATCAGTTATTCTTAAATAACGTTACTATGTAGACACATTCTTAGAAAGTGATGGTACTAGTACTGATCTCTGTAGGAGGCCATTGTACAGACTCTGCTTTTTGGTAAACTGAATTGCAAGATCATGGAATGGTCTGTCCAAAAGCACTGACCTAATTAGTAGAAATGTCTGATCACATTGATGTAGGTTGGATAGCTTCTGCTGTGAGTCCTTGTGCAAGAGTGTCATTAACCTATGACAAGTTGACAATAGCTGCAGCCATTTTAAGGTTCTGCTGGAAGCCAGCCTCCATATGTGTAGTCAGTGCAGGCACTGGATCTCAGCAGCTTTGTCTTGCCCTGTAGTGTTTCTTTTCAGGGCGTCTTGCAGGCTCCAGGATGGGGGTCATCCTCGCCAGTATTGTCCATTCCAGTAATTTGTATTACATGCTACAAGATCACTTATGCCAATGACCTGGCACCACTGACACAGGCTACAACATTATTATTTTTGCTAATCTGAAGAGGACTGAAAATTTACATTTGGAACTGACAGTTCAAGCTCAGTACCTGAAAAATGGTGTCAGCTTCCCATGTCTGCAGTTTGGAAGCTAAGAAGTTGCTGAATATAAACTTCGGTGGCAAAGTAATTGACCATAATCTTACCCCATTACCTCAGAATCCCACTTAATTATCTTACCTATTTCAGAGATTGTTGATAGATATGCCATAAAATGAGTTGCATGAATATAATGCAACAGCTAGCAGTTTCTAGCTGTGATCATGATGCTTGAATGCTATAAACAGCAGTACTGTTTATTCCATATCTAAGTACTGCACACCTATTTTGGGGAGTACAGTCGAATACAGACCTGAATACCCAACTAAATGGGGCTGGCACCCTGAAGTCCATTCTGATGTTCAGTCCTCACAAACAACTTTTTGAACCATCTGGTGATAGCTGGCTGTGTTTACATGATTACAAGACAGCTCCGTGACAACCTTGTTCACCTGTCTTAATGCCACCAACTATTCTCGGCAGCTGAAGAATCTCTTCATCCAGCTTCAACCCAGAAGACATTTGATGCCTGTAATGATCAGGGAGTGATGTAAACAAGCACTTCATAGAGGATCCCACTGTTGAACTGCTTGGTTTTTTGGTCCATCAAAGACCGTGGATGACCATCAATTGCATTATGGATGTTTCTTGAAAGATGTGTACATCCAATGCACAGAGAAACGGCTTTGCCACAGTGTGGGTGTGGAAACCTCCAAACCATTGAACGTATTGTGAACAAATTTTTCATCTCTGTATTTCCAGGTAATAGCAATGGTGTACTCGGCATGTCCTGAAGCTCTCAAATGGATTGATGACCTTTCTGTGAAATTGTAAATATTGCTGCTTCCATAGGAAAGAAATTTTAGAAGGAAAAAATCACATTGTTTGTCAGGCAGATGGTGTCTAAAGATGGTGGCAATTGTTCTTTTGGGTAAAAGAGTTAATGAGGGAACTGATAATGTCTATTTCTATTTCATTGCCAGTGGTGGTTGGGATTCAGGTGGAGTGGGTAGTGGTGGTGGTATTATCTCAGTCCCAGTCTAACAAAGACATTGCTTAGAACTAAGATGCAGAAGGTCTGGAGTCCCAAGAAATAATGGGGGTGGCAGCCAGCTCCAATAGAGTGCTCTTCTATATTTCCCCCTCACTCCATTCCCTGGAGCCTTTCTTTATGGACCTAATATAGGAGTGATGGGAGAAATAGTCCATCCACCTCATTATTTTGTCCATCAATGAGGGCTAATATCTGACACATTCTGGTTAATCAGCTGCCAGTTTTACATCTTATCTTTTCACCAAGCATAATTTCAGTGTAATCCTTTAATCCTATCAATTTGGCCTTTAAA